AAGACCTCCACTTCTTTCCATTCCCATTGCTGTTGCTGGTCCAGGCCGCCACTGTCTATTGCTGGGAGCTGCACCACAGCGGCCCTGCTGTTTCTCTGCTTCCGTGTTCGCTTCTCATATTCCCTGTCCCCCCAGCCTCCTCTGGGTTGCTTCTTATGCTCCAACCTCCTTTCCATGGCCTCCATGTTCTTAGCCTAAAACATTTCCCATCACTGTCTTTAGATCAGCCATACTTAGCATGTCTTCCCTAAAACTGGCCAATCATCTTTTCCCATCTGTGCATCCTTTTAAACCAGGCCCATGCTGTTCCCTCAGCCTAGAATGCTCTTCCTCTTCTCAGCTCCTCTTCACCCTCTCACCCCCTGGCCTACCTAACTCTTTCTCATTCCTGCATCTCAGTTTAAATGTCTTGTCCTCCAGGGAGGATGTCCTTCACCCCCTAGGTTGGGTCTGGTCTCCACCACCTAACATTCTCCTCACCTCAATGTGGCTATTCCTTACCTGTCCACTCCTCCTGCTTGTCTTCAGGTCCTTGGAGGAAGGGACCATGTCTGTCCTGCTCAACATCCCCAGAGATTAGCATGGTGCTGGACACAGAGTAGGTGCTTGATTTTTTGAACCAATAAATGAACTGTGGGACTTGGAGCTAGCAGAACTTGAAGCAGTGCAAAATGTCAAATCTCCACTCTTCCAGTTAACTTGATATATGAGCCTCTGCTTAGTGACCTGCAGGATAAGATAGTAATCTGCATTGACAGGGTTGTTGGAAAGGTAGGTGTAAGAACCTCTGTGAAAACACCCAGCACCTAGAAGTTACTCCCTAAATTCTTGCCAAGCCTGTGGATGAGAAGTAAATAAACTTGGTGTAATACCTTTATTCAGAAAGTTTGTGTCTTGGGTCACAGCACAGTGAGTAAGACATAGGTTCTTAGGCTTGGCTGCTGGACTAGAAAGCCAGCTCTGTCACTCACTAACTGGGCAGCCTCAGGCCAGATACTTAAACCACTATGTGTCTTGGTTTCCTCATCTGTAAAATGGGAATCATGATCGTACATGTCTCATAGGGTTATAGTGGGATTCAGCCTAGATCCGTGCCTGGCATGTTGGCTTCTGTTATTGTTATTAACATGTGATACTGACAACCACACTGTAAGGTTCCTCCCATGGTCCTCCTTGACAGATGAAGAGAGGTTCCCAGAGAGGTTAAGAGACTGCCCAAGGTCAAAAGTGAGGAAATGGCAGCCTTGTGCTTCAAGGCCAGGTCTGCTGCACCCAAATCCCATGTTATTTCCACTCCATCAAAGAAGGAGCTCAAAATAGGCCTGTGGCATTTCAGCTAATTTCCTCTAAGCCCTTCCCAAGTAACCAACCGCAGGCACACAAAGCTGCTCCCCTAAGAGCACCCATTCAGCAGCTGCTAAGTATGTGTGCCCAGTGGACCCAAACCATGTAATGGGGCTCACACTGAGCCAGCTTTTCTCAGGCAGCCTTGTCGAGTCTGCAGAAGGGACCTGAGGAGAAGGCCAGGTCAGTGAGGGGAAGGGTGTCGGAATAGGAGTTAGAGCAAAGGACACTCGAGACCAAACTGGACGTAAAAGTGGGGAGAAGAAATGAGAGGCAAACCACATTTATTGAGCGCCTACTGTGTTCCAGGCACATTACCTATCTCATACTATAATCACTCAGCCATTGCTATCAAGCATCGGCTATGTATCAAGCCCTGCGCAAGGTCCCCAAGACATCATGGTGAACAGGACACAGGTATTGACCTCAAAGAGCTCACAAATCAGAGAGATGATGCATGCACAATGAAGTGCTAGAAGTGGGACGGTAGAGGCCTGGGCACAGTGGTGGTGGCAGCGGTGAAAAGCAGGCAGTAACTAGGAACAACTCCAGAAAGGGGGAAGAGGCAAGTACCAATGTGTTTATTTTACATACGGTAAAACTGAGGCTCTAGGAAACTGACTCGTTTGCAGTCATGCAGTTAAGTAGCAGAGGCTAACCTGTGGCCCCAGGCCTGTTCTGTCTCCAGAAGTCTGCTCTGTCCACACTGACAGCCCAAAGCTGTTACATTCCCCCCAACCCCCTTTCCTCCTCTCAATGATTATCCAGCCAGGAGATTAATCACATGCTGCTAAAGCTGCAGCTAGAGTCAGTGGCTAAGATGTTACCAGCTTCTGTGGTCAAACAGAAGTTTCTGAGCCTCTGGGACTGATTCCATTTGAGCAAAAGATTCAGGGGTTGGTCGGTAATGGGATGGGTGGATAAGAAGGAGGGCTCTAGTCTGAAGGGACTTCTTGGACAGGTCAGAGGCAACCAAGGTGACAAGTGTAGGAGATGGCAAGCTGCTCAGTCTTGTGTGGCTTCAGCCAAGCCTCTCTCCACTCCCCCACCCCCAAAAAGGCCTAGCACATCTAAGGGGCCTTCCTGCTTGCCCTTCACTTTTTCCTTACAGACCAGAGCCAAAAAAAATCACCCACCCGAACCATTGGCTGGACTTGCTAAGTTCCCTGCTCAGTGGATCAGCACATCAGCCCCTCTCCCCTCCCAGTTCCCATCCCTGTCCTCACAGGACAAGAAACAAAACTGGAGAAAGCCTCAGTCTGCAAATGTCTTGCTATACCCTAAAGGTACCCTAGCAAAGGTTGCTGAAATTATGCTTCTGTTCTCCAGACACGGGGACCGTCTCCCACATGCCAGGAGCATAGCAGTTGCCCCTGGTAGGAGTCCTTCCCTCCTGAGAAAGGAACAGAGCATGAGAAAAGGAAGTTTTATGCAGGGTGGAGAAACAGGTCATTTTTCTACAACAACAAGTATGCACTGGTTATACCTGCAGACCTACCCTCAGCTAAGCGAAAGAAGTTAGACAACACCAAAAAAAAAAAGTCTGTTTTTAATTCAGTCGTCTATTACATACTCTGTGATAATCACCAAATCACTGAGAAATTGTCAAACAAATGGTCTCAAGACAAAAATGGAGGGAAAGAGAAGAAAGTATGGAATAACTGAGTTATGCAATTAAAACATCTGTAACCCCCAACGGACCCACCAGACTCACACCTCTCTCTAGGCTCCTCCCCCCAAAAATGAAAAACAGTGCACCTACATCATGCCTCATGTGCTCTCCCTCACTTAACTACGAAACCGATCAGAGAAAAATGTAATCAATAGCAGCAGGAATCTGATGGGCTTCTTTCTCCAGGAGTCAAATTAAGGAAAAGTTGCACATGTAGAAAGAAGAGGTAGTGCTGTAATTAACCCAGGATAGCATTCTGCTGAGGAAGGGAGGGGGGGTTGTGATGTGTTTCAGTGTTCACAGCAGGGAGATTTTTATCTCTTCTGATCCAGTTTATGAATGACACGGGAACTTAGAAGGATTCACATTTCTCCCACTTCCCCTGCAAACATGTTCATCCCTGAGATGGAAATCATTGCCCAAGCCCCAGCCACCAGCCACCCTTTCGCACCCCCTTTTCCATGAATAATCTTTCCAAAATGTCTGCTTGTAGGAGCAGATTCAGAATTTCACGGAGAACTACAGAGACACACACACAGTGCACAGCACACCCCCTTCAAGCCGGAGAGAGACAAAGAGACGAGAGAGGAACGACCAAAAGGAGACGCAGCTAACGTGCCAATAAAATAAAACAAAACAAATCCCCCAAAACAGCAAAGTGAAAACACATATAGATCGTGTTTGTATTACCCATCCAGGCTATATTTTCACCGCTTCCAGGCAGAGAAACGGCGGGTCGAAGTTTTGTGCCCATCTGACTGTGATGGGAGGGTTGTATTTGAAGCTCTGGGCACGTAGAGATGGAATGAGAAGGAGGCTGAGCTGGAAGAAACACCAAGGGGGGAGGGCAGGGGAAGAGAGAGTGAGAGAGAGAGGGAGGGAGAGGGAGAGGGAGCAAGCTATCTCTATCTACGCCTTCCTCTGAGCTCCGGGAGCCCAGGAGAGCGCTCATTTTAGGACTGGGGAGAGGGGTAAAAAGAGGAAAGGCAGCCCCCCCCCGCTCTGCCCTGGCCTTGCCACCCCCGAAGGGAGGGAGGACTCCGGCCCCGCGCCCCCCTCCTGGCGGGCCGCCCAGCGAGCCGGGGAGCGCGCGGAGCGAGCGGCGCAGGGAGCTGTCCAGTTCAGCACCACCCGGTAATGCAGTAGGTGGGAGCGCCTCCGCCGGGGGCCGAGCGGGCAGCGAGTGGGGGGGCAGGCGGGTGGCCCATCCTGCAGCAAGACGCCGGCTCCCTTGTTTCCAGGAGCTTTGCAGATAGGGGGAGGGAAACCCGCCTCGATTCTTCGGGAGAAACCCCCTCCCTCCCCCACTTCGCCAACACTACCCCTACCACCAACAATAACCGCCGCCGCTGCTCGTCCTGCCGCCGCCGCCGCCGCCGTGCCTGCCCGCCCTGCTGCCGCTGCCGCCGCCGCCGCCGCCGCCGCCGCCGGGGCAAAACCATGGAAGGCGAGACCCCCGCACCTGTTCAGCTGAGATCAAGGGCTTACAGAATACTGGGAAGTCTGGTCTGAAACGAAAGCGCCCGAGACCACCCCCCACCCCCCGCCCCGCCAAGGAAGAGAACTGGCGAAGCAAAGGATTTTCATGGCGCAGGCCGCAGAGCCGAGCACGAAGACCGAAGGTTGCATCCCGGCTTTCACAATCTCTAACTGTCTAGGTCCCGACCATGAGAGATTGTGTTGAGAATGCGGCTGTTCCCTGGTTCACTGTGGAAGCCATCTCCAAATTAGCTATCACATATGGAAACTGGAGACCGGAATTTTAGGAAAAGAGATTAAGGCATCTCACTTGGGGGGGTGGGGGGTGTCTTTTTATTTTTTTTCCTTTTTTAAAAAAAAGATTACTGCAACTGGAACAGTTTCTGATCTCAAAAGGCAAGCCTCTCTTCCTGTGTGATCTTTATAATTTACATTCTCTTCCGTGAGCTTTCTTACCTCCCTGTTTTTATATCTCTCCATAGTCTCTAGTCACACATATATCCATTATATTAGTAGTGGAATTATTTTTATTTATTTATTTATTTTTTGCTTTAGTACTCGCACCCTCACACACACTCTCCCGAGAACCAGAAGTCGGTTGGGTGTTTATATAATGAAGAATTATGGGGCTGTTTGATCGAGGTGTTCAAATGCTTTTAACCACCGTTGGTGCTTTCGCTGCCTTCAGTCTGATGACCATAGCTGTGGGAACCGACTATTGGCTCTACTCCAGAGGGGTTTGCAAGACCAAAAGTGTCAGTGAGAATGAAACCAGCAAAAAGAACGAGGAAGTTATGACCCATTCTGGATTATGGAGAACCTGCTGCCTAGAAGGTATTTGATTTCCCATCTCCTCCCCCTCTCCACTTCACCCCTCCCCTTCTCACTCCCCTTCCCCACCCTCCTCCAAATAAGTCCCCTTTACATTCCACCATTTTCTTACTTCACTCCTTCCACCACAGATCAAGGTTGGTTGGGTTAGTTTCAGAGGAAAGAAAATCAATAAGCAGAAACCATACTCAACTCTCAAGCCTCCACCACCCCCCTTCCCCTAAACCTCTTCATTGGAATAATCTGTGATATGATGAAAACAACAAGAGATTGTCTTTAAAAGTCGAATGAGCTCTGCCTGCTTTGGAATCATTAGGATTTGCCATTTGGTGTAGCATTGCCATCTACAAGGGGCGAAAATAATTGCTTCTCTCAACGCTGCTCCTCTTTTCGTAATGAAGAATTCGAAAATGCTCTTCCCTTCCCCCTCCTCCTCCCCTTACTCCCCAAAAGTCCCAGACACATCATCATCTGCAAATCTCCTTTAAAAAAAAATCTGTTGTTTCTAAGAATCCTTATTTGGTAAATCCTAATTATTCCAGGATCTCAAGCTGAGTTCAAGAGCATTTTGTAATGTCTATGAGCCACACATATCTTTCGGGGCGACTGGCTGCGTGTGTGTATCTGTGTGCTTTAACGTTTACAAAGTCTAAAAATACATACGTCTCTCACAGGAAACAAGCCCAAGTTCTAATAAACAGCAATTGACTAGCAGGTTAGGCTGAGAACCAGTTCACTTCCAAGCAGAGTGTCATGCCTGTTATCCAGAAGCAATACAGTCAGCATTGAAGTCAACTTGAGCATCAGACATTGTGCAGGGAGGCCGGGAGGGAGGCAAGGGCTTGGGGAGCTTGAGGCGGGGAAGGGGGGGCAGTGGACCGGGGATATCAGCTGTTTGCCTTGATGTTGCAGGGTCACTGAGACATGTGTGTCTGGGCATGTGCTGTGGTCCAAGGGGTCCCCACAGTGTAAAGCCTGGGAGATCAGGGTACAGATGAAGGCATGTGTTTCTGAGATACATTAATAAGCACAGAGAAAAAAAAAACAAAAAGCAAAAAACTCCTGCAGGTCATACAACCTGCATTTAGCAACAGACTTGAATATAAGGGACTGCATTTGAATGGCTATATATATATATCCGTATCTGAATGTACAAGCTACAGCTACCCATAGAAAAGCATGAACAGAGAGATACATGTTTCTGTGCAGAGAGAAAGGGTTATGTGCTTTGCTTCTGACATGAACCAATGCCGGAGGCCGTTTGAGGCAGCGCTGGGAAGCGGGGACCGCAGGATTGTTTGTTAAGCTCAACATGGGATAGCGATGCAGGGACTTGAAGCCCGGAGATGGGGGAGAAGAGAGGGAAACGGACGGGAGAGGGAGAAACTGATGTGGCCCCAGGGTCTAACCCAAACTGAGCAAAAGCCGCTCTTTGGGAAATGGTTATGTCTGGGAAAGAGCACCCAGTTTCGTGCCCCCCTCCCAACATTCTTGGTGCAAACGGTTGAGTGATGGCTGAACATGTTTTGAATAGCTAAGTGACTTCATTGAGCGATGGTCTATTTGACGCATACTGCATTTGGTGCCCTTTCTCAATCCAAACCGCTGCCTTGAACATAGTCTGCAGAGGAGCTGTATGCTGAATACTCTATGCTCTTCCCCAGCCAGAGAATCAATATCAGGAAATTAATAGGGACTGTTTTAAACACACCCGTCCTTAAAAAATGAAAAGCCTTTCAAGCAGCTTGTCATTAACAGTGGAAAGGCTTCCATTTAATTAAACATTTATGGCAGACTTCTATTCCAAAAGAGAAGAAAAGCAAAGTGAATGAGAGTTGCTTTAGGGAAATGATCATAGTAGCAATTTGCCTTCCTTGGATTTTAGTTAGATGGATGGAGATATGCAGCCAAGAAATTAGAGGAAAGATGGAATATGATTTTAGGAGAAATATACTCAGAAATTGCTAAGTTGGTATAAATATACTTTGTTATCAGGGTTTTACTTGCAAATTCTTCATTCTGTGATCTCTGAAACATTTTATAATTCCCAGAAGGCAAGAGGACTAGAGGTGGTTTTGGATCACTTGTGTATTAAAAGACTGAAGTATTTTCATTTAAATTCCATCTGTTTGGTGCCTACATCCCCAAATGTGCTGCCCACCCCCTTTCACTTTCCCTCCACGCTGCACCCCCTGCCACCCTCCACCACCGCCCCCAACCATCCCTAAAAGGGTTAGGATTATAGCACTTTCCCAAGGGTTGTGTGATGCGCACCAGAGCTGTGGGTTTGGCCCCTCTCCCAGGCCTGGGGCCTCCGAGCAGTGAGAGGAGGGCTGGGCCAAGCTCCCTTCAGGATGCTATTCCTTTTCCACTTGTAGCCAAGGCACAGGCAGGAAGGGTGGGTGCTCAGAGCCCCAATTCAACCTGGCCTTCAATTTCCAAAGCATTTGTCCCTGTGGGGCTCTGTGGGCCTGGGACCGCCTTAGGAAGTTGGGCTTTGGCCACTTAGGAAGTGGTTTAAAGATTTTAAGCCACTTATTTTCAAAGACTGCACTGATTTCCGAAGACCCTAAGAGCACTTATTTCTGAAGGTTGGCATAGATGGTTGTCGTTGGGTGTTCCTATACTCGCTTTCTGGAGCATTCAAAATAGGGTCAGCCTTTGTGGAGATCATGTTGTCAGCGCTTCACCTGTCCCCCAGTCTATGTTTTTTTGTGAGAAATGGGGCTTTCAAAAAAGATTCCCCCATCACTTCTTTATTGTGTTTCCTGCCCACAACCCCCAAAAAAGTTGTGAACAGACTTCAAATCTCCCCAAGATGCTGCTGATAACTCCAGATAAACAAACAACCCTATCTGCTTCTGATCTCTTCCGCTTTCTGGTTTTCACTCGGGCTTTTTGTCGCCTGAGACGCTTTTTCTTCCATTCACTTCTTGATGAAAATAAAAATCAGAAAATATTTCCCTGCCTCCATTGCTGCTTTTGAAGTGTATCAGTCTGCTGAAGAATGAGGAGGGACAGGAGCACCTGTTAGGGGTTGACACCCAGCAGGAGAGGAGAGGAACCAAGAAGAAGCCACAACCTTTATTATTTTTCCCTCTGCAGAGTGAACAGCTGAGTCTCTGTGTGTGAACCTGAACTCCCTAGCAGAGTGGGAGTCCTCAGTGGGACTGACGGGGTGGGAGGGTCTGCATGTGGATCCAGGTAGATGGAGCCCGATAGGAGAAGTCCTTGACATTTTAAGAAAGCTGCGCTAAGAGCCTCTGAATGGAGAGATGAGTTGGCCCTTTCAGGGAAAAGTTCAATAAAATCCACAACAGGACCCAAAAGCATCGCTTCTGAGTGAGGCGTCTCTGGGCCATGCTGTGGCTTGCTGCTCAGGATATTAACCTCGGTTGTCACCTAAAGGAATCATTGTCTCCAGGGGCAGCAAGAAATTCACTCTGTGTTTGTTCTCTCCTGCGCCTCCCTCCCCTCTGTCCGGGCTCCAGGGCTCCCCCAAAGGATTTCCAGCCCTGCAGAGGAGGAGTCAGGAGCAGTACAACGTGGTCGGTAGAAGAACCCGCCCTCCCTCTCTCGCCCCTTTCCTTGCTGTGAAGCAGCGCAGAAATCGTCTTCTCTGTCTCCACTGTTACATTCTCTCTACTGAATTTCCGATTTCCTCTTCCATCCACGGCTTCTCCCATCTTTGCTTCCACATGCTGCTTGCTCACGGTGGCTCTGCCACCCTTGCTACCTCCCAACACTCTTTGAGCAAGAAGTGTCTCAATTTTCCTGAACTGTCTCTGTCAAGTTGATAGTTGCATACCCTTTGCGAGGTGGCGAGGGCTCCACGCTGGGTTCAGCCGTGCCTCTCTTGTTCTCCAGAAGGAAAGTATCTATCTTTTACTTTAGGGATGCCAACAGTCTTTCCCAGATAATCTCACCTTAAGTGTGGATGAGATGATTATGGAAGTTCTTAATGGGCCATCGCATGATATACCTATCACTCCAGAATTCCCAAGATTATTTGACCCTTTGTAGGCACTTTGCACACAGTAGGTGCATAAAAATATTTGTCAATGGATTGATTTCAAAATTCTTCAAATTATTTAAATTAATTCAAACATCATAAGGACATGTGACAAGCAAGTACTCCAGAAAGGAAGAAGGGGGTGAGGAAGTCAGGATGGTTGGTTTGTTCTTCCTGGTGCATCTTTTTTAAAAGAATAATAACGAATCACAAAATTCATTAATTCAATTCAGAAGGAGTTTGTCATTAGGGTTGTGTGGCTCCTAATTGGCTAGTGGAAAATTATCAGTAGACTCAGTCTCTGCAAGCGAGGAAAAAATAACCAATTGATTTTCTCCCCTTTTCTGCTTTTAAAGTACACCAAAGTCCACTTGGATTGTAATAGTCACTGGAATAGACACTTTGGGTAGAGAGGCATTATGGACCATCCCCATTTAGGTACCCCAGAATCTTCTATTCTCTAGCAAATCTCCCCACCCAGTTCCCAGGGCCCTGAGAATAGTCCCCAAGGTCTTAGGTTCTGACCAGCAGTTTTCCATAGAGCCAAGCCCCACATTCCTAAGCATCCTCACCTGGGAAGGCAAACTTGAACCCTTTACTGAGGAACAAACTCTGCGAGTCCTTGCCCACTCACACTGCCCTTCCCGCCCCCACTGCCCTTCAGAGCTGAGCAGAACTAGGCACACAAGAGTGACATCACACACCAAGGCCACATGGGCAGAGCTAGAACTTGAATCCAGGCCCCTCACTTCCACCCTGCAAGCCTCCAGAGGGCTCTATGCACATACCCTGGCCTACTGTGTGGCCTTGTGCTCATATTCACTGCTAGCACTAGATTTTACTCTGTGTCCCATTAAGCATCTCCCGTCGAGGGCCCAGCCTGAGTCTGTCAGGAAATCTGGGTTCTGACCCACCTGACTCTCCAAACGCCACTCACTCCAGCTGCCCTGTGCTTTGAAGAGTGACCGTTCTGCTGGAACCCCCTCACTCC